AACTAAAAATCTTAAAACAGAGTAATAAAGATGAATTTAGAATACTTAGTATAGGAAGCTAAAGAAAGCTATCTTTATACCTTTCTTATGCCCTTGGGTAAAAATTAAGGCAGTAAAATCGTGCTTTTCTGGAAATCGACAGGTTGAGCTTCCAAAAGTTGTCTAGAGCAAGATGCCCAGGAAGAGAGGGCTTCCAAGTCAGAGAAAATAGGTATTCGGGCTTTGAAGAATTCCTCTCCAGGTTCCAAATGGAGTAAACAAAGCGAGACATGGAACCCGCAGTGCAAGTAGAGGAGATGAATCCAGAAAACCAGCATATATTAATAGACTTTTGGGTAAATGAGACTCTTACAAGTGTTAAATTATAAATATATTTTCTAGAAACCATGGGAAGGGATCCATAGGAAAAAATGATTGCATTCTAGAAATCAGCAATGGAAGTCTCACAACAAAGTTGATAGACCAATATACTTATAAATGGAAAATCATTATGTAATAAAATGTCAAAAGTAAGTTTATTTTAAGAATGAAACATTAACTTTAAGGCAGAGTTCTGGTCGTGTCCTCAAGGGTGTCATACAGAGAGTGGAGGAATTGGAAGGGGCTGAGATGCTGGGAAACAGTTAATATTGAGAGCCCTTTCACCATGTGCCTGGTAATCTGGAATGATCCAGTTATTTTTATGCTAATTGGTTATGTACTGATTGCGATTCATTTGTTTTAACTGGTGATGGAAGTCCTGAGCACATGAATATGGGCTGTTTAGGGCAGGCAGAGGTGGTCTCCTGGGGACAAAACCCTCACACTTGCAGTGCACACAGGCAGATGGTGAGTAAAACACACTGCCAATGTTCTCCGAGGTGTTCTAAAAATCAGGAAATACTACGCAAAGCTTCAGCTTCCTTTCTAAAATGTTGAGACCTTGCCGTAGGAGGCACTCGGTTGGCTTTAAGGAAGCTATTGGCTGGGATGAGTAGCCAATGCATCCTTGAGCCCTAACCCTAACCCCAGCTGTGACCCCAGCCCCACGAGCTCTCCTGTCACCTCTTTCTCACGACTTTTAATGATCACGATCACGTCCAAAGCTTTTGCTCACACTTGTTTCCTGTAGCTGTTGACTTTGTGATTGCTGTCCTATCTAACCAACCACTGTCATTAAAATGCCTCCACCGAGGCATCGCCACCCCTTCATCTTTTAAATTCTGTCCACTTCGGTTCCCCCATCGTTGGTGGTTTCACTTGGCTCCCGTTTATATGCTCCTTATTTCTGTCTCTGACCCTGTCTCCATCTCAGCCTTGAACACGGTCCGGGATTTTGGTGTTTTTGCCTGTGCTTTCTTGGGACACACATCACACCCACTCCAATTTGGGGTTTGGCTTCCTTCTTTCGTCCCGGTGCTAGAAGCTAACTACAGATTGAGGCCCCGGATGTTGTCTGTGGCTCATCAGAGTAACTGATCATGACAGACATCTTATTCTTCACACGCTGCTGGTAGATTGGCTGCACAAACGGCTCCTATTTTCCGTGCCTGTCCTCCTGTGGTAGTGAGTATCTTTCCACAGTGACTCTGAGCTTGACCTTGTATCTGACTTGGGCCGATGTGACTTGTATAAATGGACTCAACCCAGGGCTTTAAATTATGCTTGTGGATTTCCACCTTGTTACATCTGATAATCTTGAAATCATTCTCAAGTGAGGCTGAGAACAAACCTGGGATTTCTTGCTGAAGAAATCTGGAAGACAGTGCATACATGAGAGACAAAAGAGCAGAACTTAATTGTCACTGTTAAGGCTCTTTTGTACTAGCCTGCAATGACTAGACTCTGGTCATATTTTAAAAGCAACTGACTTCTTGGAAGAGGCTAGAGGAGGCCAGAACTGTCATATCACCCCACAAAACAGTGAACAATAGTAAATATTAAATAAAAAGAATATACTTAAAGAATCAATACTTATTGTTTTAGGCTGCTGAGTTTCATGGTAGGTATGTCATGTGGAACTGGCTAATTAACACAGTTTTCTCTTACTGAGGTATGATGTATCTTTCTCATGAAAAAGTTACTCACTTAACAGTATGCCAATAAAATATTCTTACTGTACTGAGAAGTTGCCCAGAAGAAAATAATTGAAGGGTTGCTTTGGGGTAGATTGTTTTGATCTGGAAGAATGTAAATATGTCTCATCTAGAAATTAAATGTGCTCTGGGGACATTCAAGCCCAGTGTTTGTGCTGTAAGTGGTGTTCCAAACCCACATCCACATAGGTAAGGAGAGGCCGGGCTGGCGGGCAGGTCTTTCCGACAAACCATTGCATTTACTGTTACTCTGAGGTCTCGCTGCAGAAATGTGAGTGGAAAGAAGGGCATTAGGGGACCTCAGAAGGTTTGGCAGTGCATTTTAGATGCGTATCTGAGCCACACAAGTTAGAAATCTGGGATGGAAATCTCCTAAGAATAACCATTCTCATGAAATTTCCAATCCCTCTTGTTTTTGGCAGGACTTAAAATTCCGTGGAAATGGTTCATGTCGCAAGACTTCTGTGTGGTGCTGGCCAGCGCCAGGGAAGGAGAGGGGCCCAGGAAAGGGAAACCGAACCAGTGTGGCTGTGTGTTTTCACGCCTTTGAAAAGGTTTGGGTTTGGCTCAAACCGGGAAAGAGCACTTGGGGTTTTTATTTCGTGCCAGCTTTTTCAAATACCATTCACCTGACTCATGAAGCCTTGAACATCAGGAGGAAACAAGGAAGGAATAAATCTTGACTATTCTTGATGTTCAAACACACTCTGAACAGGACTCCTTGCTGGGAGAGAGAACAGGATACTGCTGGAGGGAGATGCCGGGGGTCAAAGGGGCAGCATGGCTTGTTCATCCTTATTCATTATGGCCTAGTACTCTGCCAGGCTTGGTTCTCCCTTAGATAGCTCACACTTGCCTAGGGAAGACAAATCAGGATCTCATTTTCCTGCTGTTTCCAAAAGTCTGCTGGAATTCTAGAGTGCGGCCAATGCCTATTTATACATCTTTTTCAGAATACTGTCATTTCCCCCCTCTCGTTATGGTATATGGTGATCCTACTGCCTGCAATGTCTGACACCTGTTAGCTGTTGAGTCCTCCCTAAACCCAGCTCAGACATCAACCTTCCTGTTGCCAGGCAAATTACAGACCTCCTCACCTTTGCTACCTCCTTACTTTGTATGTGTTTCTATGATTGCATGCAAAATACAAAATTATGTTCTCAGCCCGGGGCCTCGGGCGCTGTAAACACTTGATTGATGGAAATGGATTACACAATACAACACTATGAGAACTTTTCCCTTTCTGTGTCACCTAAGCCTTCAATCAACATTAGACTCATTCCAATCTCTCAAAGCCATGCTCGTCAGCCATTTGTCATTTCCAGAGTGACTTTTTCTGGCAGCTTCTACACACTTCCTCTCGACTATAGGACACTTTTCATCTTCAAATATAAAAGATCATGGGTTAGTACTTTTCCACTGACTGGTCTAAGTCTAAACTGCTGATTTAAAGGGATCTTACCTTCTGTCTTCTAGTACCGTGTACAGCACTGAATTATAAGGTGGCTGATGTTATAGTAATATTTGAAATGGAAACCCAGAGACTCTTTCCCATGAAGTTTTAACAGGATAAGGATAATCTGATCTATTTTATGTTTCAGGTTACTCCATCAGATTGCAGCATGAGGTGGCACTAATGAAGCCAAGGTCGAGTGTTCAAATCTCTGGTCCAATTCACGTGATTATTTTTCACATCCCCTTCCCATTCCCCTCCCTCTCAGCCAAGTCTCCTACAAATTAGTGCACTCAAGCAAAAGGGTGTCAAAAATAAAGTGCAGGAATACACTGTGGAAAAACCAGTCTTATTTCTAGAAAACACAGTTGACAGTATGTATGCTGTTGCTGGGTGCATGTGTGCTCGCACACAAGAGGGTCATTTTTGTCTGTGCACGAAGAGAAGTGTCTGTCTACTTATCTGTCTACCTATCTCTTGTATAATTTGAAAAGCATGCATTGTTTCAGCCAGATGGAAGGATTATGTTCCTTGAACACTGGTCTTTAATGTATATTATCACATTTATTACCGTATCAAAACCAGATGTTTAAAATTTGGGCTCGAAATTCCATAATGCGGATTGTATTACCTCGGGGTCACCTTACCCCCTAATGCTCTCTGCTCAGCTGTATTTTGTTACAGCTTTAATAGAGCAATAATGTGTTTCCACAAGTCTTAGTCTGGTATTAGATGACATGGGGACTAATTTTGGTGGGCTGAGCAGACTGGTAGGGGGTTATAAAAACCAGAGCAATTTGCTTTCTCAACAGTAAGAAAATATGTTAAGAATTATTGAGACTAGTCAAGGCATCTCTCTCTGTCTTTTTGCTCTTTTGTTCTTTTTCTCTTCTCTTCTTTGCCTTTCATTACTTTATTTAAAGTTTGCTGTCATTTTTGCTGCCTCCAAATGTTCTTCAGCTTTCCAGAAACAAAATCTAATTACCAACTTTCTTATCTCACAAAGACCTTCGTCTTATTTGCCTCTTTACATTGCTTCTGTACCGATAAAATTAAAACAAGCAAGTTCAAAAAATTGATAACATTCCCATTAAAAAAATCACAATCAATGCGGTTTATATAAGGTGAAAGAAAGAAATAAGAGCCCAAGTGGCTTTTGGCCAATGATTCATCTATTTACATTAATAGGTTCCAGCAATGGGACGGCAGGCACAGAAAGTCTGTTTGCCACTGCACTTAGCGAGCACATGAGCTTAAAAATAAACTTTGACAATGTAGATCTGTCCTTTCAGGAATGGAAAGCATTATGTACTTCAAAGCACACTAAGCCTGATTTGAAAATATAGCTGGGATTTTGCTAGGGGGGCAGTGGGGAGGGTCTTTCGCCTGCGCACAGTACACGGATGCTTTGCGTGTGAACCGCGCTCCAGCAGCCGACTGGTGAAAGCAAATGTCCCTGCCAACTTGACATCCTGATTCACAAAGAAGAAACTTCTGTCTGTTAAGTTCTCTGGAACAACTCAGATATGATTCCTCACTTTAATCGGGGAATTTCTTCCTGAACCAAACTGCAAAAACAGAGGATTTGAGTAGCACATTTCACTTGCAAAAAACAGCAGCGTTTGTTCATTTTGAGTGTTTTTGGACAGGAAATTGATTTACAGGGCAACATTCACACAAAAAGGGAAGCAGTATGGGACGGTGGCTTGTTAGTCCAAGTGATTCTGTTTTGGAAATTACGGGCGAGAAACCTTGGAGGAAGAACGGCATTAAAGATCAAAAGCACGATGACTCCTGATGAAAACATCACCAAATGATGAACCCACGAGCAAAAAGGAATTTCTACTGTAAGTATCTTTGCACTAATCAACTATCTTACTTGTTTTCAAAATTTCTAGAGTCTGCCGAGTAGATTTCCAAGCAAGTATTTGATGTAGAGAGGCTTCATTATAGACAAGTGTATAATTAAACTCATTGGGTGGTTCCAAGAGAGGGCTGGTTACTGGAATTTTTTTCCATGACCTTGCAACACTGAAATAAATTGCACACTAATTTGGGAATGTTTTATGCAATAGGCATGCTATCTCAGGCTTTCATTGTGTGATGTATTACTTTTGGCAGTGCAAAATTGATCAGCATATGTATCTATAAATTCCATTGCCTTTGGATTCTGCTAATTTAAATGACATTTGCTTTGATTTCATGTGGGATTAGTCCTACAATTGAGATGGTCATATATAGATTTACATATATTATTTGTAATTTAGAGAGTATTAGCTGTTTCCTGAAGAAATCTTACTTGAAAGAGTGAGAGGAGGTGGCTTAGAATCTTGAAAATGAGAGGTGTGATAGCTGAAATTAGACCCCAGGAAATAACACCTTGGTTCTTATTAATATTTTCATAGTTTATTTGGTAGGAAGCCTTTGGAAATTATTTAGGTATCTTTATATAATACAACTCAGCTCATAGAATTGCTGTGGTCTTAGATGTGTGATTCAAGCTTATCAAAAGCATAATGCTTTGTAAATACTAAACAGAGTAAATCCATTTTTTAGTGTCTGGTGTGTAGTATATACCTAGCAGTTATGTTTTGAATTCTGAATAAATTCTCAGTTGAGTATTAAGGCAAAAATACCAGGTGGTACAGTAATCATTTTGTACCAGGATTTTACTCTTTGAATTTACCCAGGAATGTGACTGGACTGTGTTTAACAAGGAATGATGTAACAATGCGGTCACGTTGTTCTGTATCCTCCAATAAAGGATTTCTTTAAAAATCAAAATCAATTAATTGCTATTTTTGGTTGCTTTCCTTTTGAGATACAAAAGAGTTTGCTCCACTAATTGTTTATTTGGAAGAAGGTCACAAAGTTTTGGGAGTAACTCAGTGTCTAAGTAGCCAGGTATTGGCTTGTTTTGCATCGATGTGAAAGGGGCTGCTGTTGGCTTGCGGCAGTGGGGCTTGTAACTGATGCTTTTGGATCCGCTTTGCCAAGGCTTCCTGGGAAGGCCAAGACCCCGCGCGGTCCTCCATGAAGGAGATCGGCTTTCAGATGTCTGGGCGTGAGAATAAAATGAGACGTGAGCGAATGAAAAGGGTCTTGGAGCCAAGCTGGGACAAAGGCAAGCAATCGAGTGGACAAGAGCTGGACAGTCAGGGACGCTCTTTACTGATGCGATCTTCACTTTTGCTATGGACAATAATAGAGTTTGTACATCCCCATTCTTCTCTAGACTACACTATATAGCCATCTTCTGCATCACATTCAGGACCTTCTGCCACCCCAAGTAGGGAACAAGAATGTGTTCGGCTGCACCGAATTAGAAGTCTTGGTGGCCCTTGAGTAGGAACTAACAGAACCTGTATCTAAGCAACAATCATCATTTACGTGAAATCGTTTGGATAATTACATATATCTTTTCGGTAAACTTAATTATCATACGTAACATCCCATAGAAAAATGGATAAGCGAATTATCCCCTTAGCAGTTGAGTTTAGTCTCCCATTTAGCGGTGTATTTTATAGGTAGTTTTTTTTGTTTCTAGCAGGAGCTATCAGAGTGTTGTTCTAATTAGAATAAGATAGTCTAAAGGATTCACTTGAAAGTTGTTTTAAGAATTAGGAGATTTGTGGGTATCATCGACATGGATACTTTTCCAAGCTAAAATCATCTGGATTTATTGTGCAGACTTCTGGGATTTCAATCAAGAAATGATGCAATATTTGAAAAGTTCTCAGGCTTTTAAATTTTTTTAAGGAAAAAAGGCATTTGGTTATTGTATGAAACTCAAGTAATAATCGGTAGAATGACTATAATCTTGAGGATTATCTTCAAAAGAAAAATGGTTTAGATCCCAGAGCCAGATTGCTCTAGATGTAGTAGTTGCTATTAAGTGATAAGTTGAATTTTCATGGTATGTTATAATTTTTGTAGTTATTTATGTGGCACCTGATGCTCTATAGCCAGAGCTGCCCAAAGATGTGTCGCATCAGGAAGGATGAGTCTCCCATCCCTGGGAACAGTTTGTTGATGGGAAAGTTTAACAAGAAGAGAAAAACCAGTGTTCTGAATTAGATAACTGTGTGCTGAGGTCCTAGAACCACTGCTTACCAACTGTGTGAACCTGGGCATAAACCTCTAAATACTAAGTCTCTACTTTCCCATCTGTAAAATGAGTGAATAAGCTTTCCATCTTTGAAGTGCTATATTTTTCACTTATTGGCTCCAAAGATAAGAAAACTATAAATCCAAGCTACAAATGCACTAAAACAATGACATCAGGCCATCAGAATGCATGAATTGAAAATAATGGAAACATTTTTATTCATTTGTTTAATTTGATGGTTTACATGGGGTAGGAAGTAAAAATTCATTTGGCCATTCAACAGTGCTTGCTAAGTAATTTCTCTGTTCACATTTTATATATAATCTGTGTCTAATCATCTTATGAATCTACTGTCACCAGCAAAGCAAAGCAATTCACAGTAGAAGTGATGTTTGAAAGTTTAAAGTTTAAAATAAAGTTCACTTTCAAAATGTTTCCCATGACATCTCTGCATGATGTCTGCAAAAATAAAAGTTTTAGGCGAATGGTTTATTTTGATGGCTTAATTTATTATGTCCATTTTTTCTGAGCACACATACACAAAACCTGGATTGAGCCACTCAGGTTGATGAAGTGCTGTTTGTGCAGCGCAGATATGAAATAATCTAGGTGCTAGATTGGCTGTCTGGAAAATCACTGGAATTTGGGAACATGTTAACAGTGACTATTTAAAAATATCTTGCATCTACATAGTGCCATTTTCTCTTCAAGCATTTCCATGGGTGTTATTTCATTTTTTACCCTTTACATGGAGAAGAAAGCTACATTCTCTCCATTTGCTGCACATGGTGAGAATAATATATCCAGAAAATGAACAGAATTGTCTAATGGGATATTTGGGTATGAAGAAAAGGAACTTGAGATGCAGTATAGTTTGTTTAATGGTTTTATGCTCATCTCTGATTTTGATCCAGAAATACATGATTCCTCTGGTTCTCTCTCGCATTAATAGGAGCTTTAAGCTTGAGTTATCGAGGCTTGCTTGTATTACACATCCATAGAGGCCCAACCCACCAGACATAAGAGATATAATATGACTGGGTTTGGCCTCAGTGAGGGGCAGGGAAGACCTGAGTGTCTGGAATTCATTGTCTTCTGGATTGACATTCTATCCAGACACTACAGGCAGAGAAGAGGTTCATATTTATTCATATAGGTGTCTTATTTTACAATGTAGTTAAGGCCACAGATGTACTTTTGGCTATCTTCCATAGCTGCTGATATGACATGCATTTGAACAACTTCATTGTGTGTGTGTGTGTGTGTGTGTGTGTGTGTGTGTGTGTGTGTATCTCAAATCAAAAGAACAACATCAGCTGAAATTCAGCTCCATAGCTGCTCAAAGGCTGATAAAATATCTCTTATCATATCTCAAGCTCACAGCCTGGTTATGCCTGATGATTTCAGTGTAGTAATAAGATATGTTCCTTAGCATGATTATAAACTTTAACCTGCAGGAACTACAGTTCCAGGTGCAAGGAAAAAACAGAAAATTCTAAAGTCGCAGAGACCAAATAGCTCACATGAGTTAACCACCGTGTTATTCAGACACAAGAGACGGCGACTTTTTCTTCTTGGTAGTTTTGTATGTTCTACATGCTTTCAGCTCAGTTCCTGATCTTTTCCCTTTTAGCAGCCTAACATTGCTGCTAAAATGCTTTTGGCTGGTGACATAGCTTAGAGGGGAAATCACGGAGAGGAGGGATCAGGTGGCCGTACTCATCATGGAATGCGTCCCATCTCTGGAGGACACTGCAGCTGTTCTGCCTTATGATTCCTTCCTCTGTGAGAGACACTCTCAGGTTGGATGAGGAGCAGCAGTGTGATTCTGAGGCACAAAGCATCTGGTTTCCATCGGGCTCTTTGTGTTCTTCGGAAGCCCTCATGCATGGGTCAAGGTGAATCGAACAGTCAAGTGCAAAAGGAGCCAGTAGCTTCTGGTACCTGGACTCTCCATCGAGAGGAGTGCAAAGCCTCCAAGAGTTCTTTTGCCTTCATTTAAAAAGATTTATTCTGCAGAAAGATGCAAATTTCCATTCCTTCCAGGCAAGAAGACTTTTTAAAATTTTTTAAGTTTGTTATTTATTAGTACCTGTTTGTAGTACACTATGTTTACATTCCTTGTGGAGAACTGATACACATACATAATACATTTTAATTCAGTTCTTTTCAATCCCTTTCCCATTCCTCTCTCTTCCCTCCATCCATCTTGATTCAGCTTCCTTTCATTGGACAGTTTTGCAACATATAAGGTTTACATTCCTTGGGTGGAGTTGGTACATGTACATAATGCATAAGTATGAGATGATTTTGATTTTATTTATTTAGATTTATTTTTATTTTGTTTTAATTTTGTATTTCATTTTACTTGTTTTTATTTATTTTATTTTAACAGAAAAATTTTAGGCTTATTTGTTTTTATTTTGTGTATGTATACAACAAACATAGAATTCTTAAAAATTTTTGCATCAAGCAAGATTGCATGTATTTTTCTATGACTTAAATATCTAAAGTCTTGTAAGCACCTCCCTAATCAAGATGTGGGACAGATTCTTCACTTCAAATGCTTCCCCTTGATGCAGAAAAATTAAATTCTCACGTAACACCATATAAGAACATCAATTCAGAATGTATTAGTGTCTTAAATGTGAGACCCGAAAATACAAAATTCCTGGAACAAAACAGGAAAAAATAAACTTTATCACATTGGCCTGGACAATGATCTTTTCTGACATGAAC